GATACAGGTGATTGTGCCACCCAAGAAATGCCCTTTCTATGGAAAGTCTTCTGCCGCTAAAAGAATGTAAGCACAAAGAGCAGCTGAAACAGAAGAAGAATGCAATCAAAGACTTCAAGCACAAGCTGCAAGACAGGTTGCTCAAATACAGGAAGATACTTTGGAACAACGTAAAGTTAGACTTCAAGCACAAGCTGCAAGACAGGCTGCTCAAATACAAGAAGAGACTTTGGAACAACGTAAAGTTAGACTTCAAGCACAAGCTGCAAGACAGGCTGCTCAAATACAAGAAGAGACTTTGGAACAACATAAAGTTAGACTTCGAGCTCAAGCTGAAAGCCAGGCTACTCAAAGATAGCAAGAAACTGTTGAACAGCACAAAGCTAGAGTTCAGTCAGAATCATCAAGGCAAGCTGGATATAGACAACAAGAAACTTCTGAACAATGTCAAACCAGACTTCAAGCACAAAAATTAAGACAAATAACTTACAGAGAGCAAGAAACAGAGGAGCAACATGATGTATGACTTCAGGCTCAAAGAACAAGACAAGCTCAAACACGACCTAATTTCAAATAAAGCTTTGTTTGATTAAATGCTTTTTTATTTCTCGCATCACAGCTTTTGTCTACTTACTGAATAATTTGCTGAAAAAATACTGATCTATACATTTCAAATACAAATTTTTACCGTGCAACGCCGGGTAACTCAGCTAGTAATAGATAAAACATAAGGAGTAGGTTTATACTTATGCTAAGGTCAAGGTTGTGTTTGTTACATCACCAATGAATGTATTTAATTGTCATGGTATGTTAACACAGACAAAAAGTTGTTTTATTGGATATTTTTTCTATCACATTTAGCTGTTTTTTTATTTTTAAAACAATGTAACCTTATTTCTAAAATTTAAAGTTTCTAATTCTTCCAAAAACTTAAAATATACAAGTTAGTAGATATTCATTACTACTTGATGTTCTAATATAATCAAGTAAGAATTGCTAATTTGTGATTATATGTTTCAATATATGATACTATATATATGTAGTCTTACTGGACACCCTTTTTTGTGTGTCTTTAATAAATCACATAAAATTCCTGCATGTATTCCAGTCAGTCTAATTTTTGATGTTCTTTTTCATTTAATAAGCTTTATTTTTTACTCACAATAAATATTTCCATAGTTTAGTTTTTCTTGTTTTAATTGGATTATTATTCATTTTTAAACTTTGTTTTACCTTCAGGATATCTTAAAATTTATATATATATATATATATTTAGACTTCTTTCTTACTTGGGAATATATGAATAAAAAACAAACATTAATATATACAGAAATGACAATTCAGACATTTTCAGTAATACAATCTATTTTTACAACAAACTCGATTTAATAATCAAGCATTTACCAATCAAAAATGGTTACTTAGAGTGCCTTATGACATGCCACCAGTGACAAACTGTTGTTTAATTCAGTTAGAACTTCATTAGAAATTCAAAAGAATGAAAACAGCTTTATTTATTACTGTATTTGTAAGTATAGGAAAAGTACTGAACACAAAATGAAACAGGAGTACATACTTTTGAGGTCCAAAATACGTCCTGAGTTAGGAGACTCTTGTGTAGAGAGTTGTTCTCGTAACTTATCAATGTCTTCAGGGTGAATTAGATCAAACAAGCTGGAGTTCAACCAGTTTGCCTGAAAGAAAATGTTCACTTTTCATTTGACTCATTGATTACATGGACTATGCTCTGTTGTTATAATAAATAGAAAATAATACAAAAAAGGAATATAGAACTAAAAAAATATCTAAAATTATATCTATAAAATATGTAGATAAACGTGATAGAGTAGTTCAAAATTAATAATCATTATGATCCAGGTGGCCACTGTATCATAAAAAGTAATGTTAAAGTGGAAAGATTTGTTTGTTTTGAAATTCGCGCAAAGCTACACGAGGGCTATCTATGCTAGCCGTCCCTAATTTAGCAGTGTAAGACTAGAGGGAAGGCAGCTAGTCATCACCACCCACCACCAACTCTTGGGCTACTCTTTTAACAACAAATAGTTGGATTGACCGTCACATTATAATGCCCCCATGGCTGAAAGGGTGTGCATGTTTGGTGGGACGGGGATTCTAACCCGCGACCCGCAGATTGAGAGCCGAGTGCCCTAACCACCTGGCTATGCCAGGCCCAGGAAAGATTTATAAAGTTAAGTAATTGAAAAAGATTCTTTTCTCAACAAAGACCAACTTCATTTTTCAGGAAATTTGACCACTAAGACAGTAAAAAAAAACCCCATTAAAGTCAAATATTATATTCATTCAACACTTCAAAAGCATTTGCTTTCTGTCATTATCTATACACAGAGATACAATATACTTTAACAGAAATTAAAGTAATAAAAACTGTATATTGTAAGTGAACTAGTTTGCTGAATGGATGACTAAGATACTTTGATTTCTAAGCACTAAAGAATGCTGTACTTATGATACATGTAAATACAATTAATCATTTAACTGCAGTTGCTTTAAACTCACGCAGAAGTTTTGCAAGCTGTATACACTGAATCAGCAGTCAATGGGTTAATAAATTGTCCTCAATTTGTCCTTTGAAATTTTACTTTCTCTTGAAAACAGAATTAGTTTTTCATGTATTAGAATAAATGCAGTTTCCTTTAGCAGAAAGTTCTATACGAAACCTGTTTCAATACAGTGAAGGTGTTTTTTTCTATCTGGAATACTTTATAAAGAAGTATGGATGTGCTTAAACCTGTTTGAAAACAAACATAATATCTTAATACTACCTTAAAGTAAGCAAAACATAAATTCAGAAAATTAAAAAACAACTTATCACAATTTCAATCTTTTTTATAACTGAGAAATTTAAGAAAAACAAAGAAATACAGTTATAAGGATATTGTTTATTTCATTTGTAACATTAAAAACGTATTGTACTTTAAGCTAGTTAATATGCTAAAAAATTATATTTCCAGTTCCTAACTTTCAAACCTTATCTATTGTTTCAGGTTTACAATATATAAATGAACCTTAATCAGTTTCATTAACAATATTTAAATTCTCAATTATTAATTATAGTTTTATTTATTATTTTCCATTTGTATATATATATACATGTATTATAAGGATTATTTTCAACCAACTGTTGAATCAATGAATCCCAAGCAGTATCTTCTTGAAATAGGTTAATATGTTGAATTAGCTAGATAACTTAGAGGGTTAATGTTCAGTTCTGATCTATGTAGGTAGCTTGCTTTGATCAGAAGTTATATTCAACCTCAAACACTGTATGGATATATATATATATA